ACTGAAAGTCTTGGCCTCTGGACAGAAAACTCTTACCTTCTTCACAGGCTGTCACATCTCATCATGGCATGTCCTTCCCATGTCCATCAGCAGGGCAGAGCCAAGGGCAGCCCCTCTGCTCTCACCAAAACTAAACTGTACAACCCAGACCACAGAGCAGACCTCACACTTCTCCCTGGTAAAACACCACTACATTTTGTTTTTCTCTTTTCCCCTCAACCAGAGACACAGGATAGGCTAAGATTTCATTTCTCAGACTCTCTTGCAGCGACATGTGTCTAGGTCATCAAATCCCAGCCAATGAGATATGAGAAGAAAGAATACAGATGACTTCCTAGTCTTGTTCTCAAAAGAGAGGTGTGCTGCTGACCTCTCCCATCCCTTCCTTCCTATATTCTGGGAAAAGACAGTGATGAAGCTAGAATAGCCACATGGGATCCCAACACAGAAGTGGCTCATGAACATGGTGAAGAAGCTGGTCTCTGGTGTCTGTAAGGCAGCCAGGCAAAGCCTAAACTTTAAAGAAACATGTTTTGGGTCTCTGCCCAATAGAAGATTCTGTATCCCATAATTAATAACTTCCTCAGTAGCACTGAACATCCCTTCCCAAAGTTTAAGGCCTTAACCGTTCAGAAGAAACAAGTCAATATTTATTGAGAGTCTGTAGTCTATTAAAATCATCTAAGAGTATCTTCACTCTCCCACCCACCCCTAAGTTCTTACTGAGAGTTGTGACCATATCATTTTAGAAATACCAGAAGGCGACAGAAGCAGCCCGCTCAGAGTGGGCCCAGTGTTGTGTGGGAGTGCCAAGCCTTAGGGAGCATTCAAAAGCATTCATCTGGAAGGCTCAGGTCCAGCTGGAGAGTGAGAGGAGGGGCTGTGCAGGACTCGGGTGTTCACACGAGTCTCTGAGCACTGGTGCCCAGCCTGGGTTTGAAGGCATTGAGCTGGGGGTAGACTGGGAAGAAAGATGTGAGTCACAGACACAGGGAGCTGCACAGGGCTGGGGTGCTGTCTAGAGTCCCTGCCATCACCAGAGAGGGAGGGTGAGTGCCACTTACTTAAAGTGACAGAGTGACAGTGGTGACATTATGAGGAGAAACAGAAAAGTGTAAGGACATATTTAGAAAACGGCAGCTGTCTCTTCGTCATCACAGTCCTCCTGGAGAGCCATTGAGGCACGGTCAGGCCCCCACCTGAGGCTGAGACAAATCACTGTTTCCATACTCATTTTCTTTCCTTGGGAATCCCTCAAATGCCAGGGGATGGATCAGCCACAGTAGGTACTCCAACTTCAGGACCTTGTCACTGGCTTGTTTGAACAGGGAGGCCAGGGCAAGGGCTGGCTACAACTTCTATCTAAAGTCCGTTGAGGACAGTCTCGGTTTTCACGTCCTCCTAATGGGGTAGTCTATTAGAATGGAGAAAAGTAGGCTAGCTTGCAAATGCTTCATTTTCCTGTTTCCTGGAATTCTCTGGAGAATAAGCACACAGTAATGAGACATTCAGAGCAGACAGAAGAAGCAACAGAAATCACACATTACCTATAGCACAGTTAACACGGCCCCAGAAGAGCCAAGAAATGCCATCCCCATGGCACAAAAAATTCAGTAGACAGGGGAAAAATTGAGTCCCATTCCTCACTTTTGGGATTGCTAGGTAGCCTTGGAGGGAGACAGCACAGAGGTCTCAGGATATGCTCAGGCTCTCACTGTCACATATCTCAATCCTGGTGTAAGTCTGACCTCAGGAGTGGTTCAGAAGGGCCATAAGTGTGCACATATGTATATGTGCACAGAGAAAACAGAAGGGAGAAGCCTCACACTGGCAGCCATCCTGAAGGAAGGCTGTTCTGAATGCAGGTTCACAAGGCTGATTACCAACCATTATACATGATCGACACAGGAATTTGTCAGGCATATGTCACCACTGTAACCCTAAGTGACAGATTGCTGAAAAATGGCTGCTTCCCTAAACACCTGGTCCTGAGTCTGGAGCATAACTGTGTTCTTGAATTAAACAATAAACAAGCATAGAGTTTCCACAACAGGCATGGGTAGGTTGCTCAAGTTCACAGAAGGAATTTTCCACATGTCAGTGAGTGAGCATGGGGAATCTGTGCAGGCTGCCCACACCAAGCATGTGACTCCATCACAATCACAGGTGAGGGGTCCATTGAACCCTCTCCCTCCTGCCCACCAGCCCCACATTCTTGAGAAGGTGAGATAACAGGCAGAGTAAGCCATGGAGCACGTGGGTGTGCTCAGCATAGTGTCTGGCAGTCACAAGAGCTCTGCAAACAGTTCATCAGGAGCTCTTAGCCCAACAGTCCTCACGCTTCACCACACAGAGGAAACGGCCTGAGTATCATTCTTCTATTATCATAAAGAATGGAAACGTTGCCTGGCTCTGAGAAGGTGGGAACACAAAAGAGGTGGAAAAGACTGGGGTTCCCCTTAGGTACTAGGAAACAAGACTCTCATGGGAGAATAGTTTGGGAAAGGAAAGAGTATGTTTGTCTTCATTGTATGCTCCTAGGGCTTTTTTCTTTCTTCTCTGGGCGAGAAACTTCAAGGAAGCCCTGAAAGCCTTCTGAGACCATGAAATGGACCCTTTTCTGATTGACCACTCTTAGCAAATTCTCAGTAATGGCTATAATGGGCCGTTCATCTCCCCTGAAGGGAAGGAAGTCAGGCCCTATGCACAGCATATCACTTTGATTATTCGGTACCCCAAGACTCATACAAATTCTGGAAGCCAGCTGGAAAGCATCTCAGTGGTGGGGTACATGCCTGGCATGTGAAGATGTCAACTTTGATCCCCAGCACTGGAGTTTCGTTTTGTTTGTAAGTTGCAAGTCCTGACTAGAAACCAGCGCAGTTAAGGCTGAAACCCTGCTAGAAGAGAAAAAGTCTTAAATCTTTGCCTGAGACATGAGAAAGCACCCCAAGTTCTAATTAAACTGAAGCAATTAGCCACCCACGGATCCTTCACTCAGCTTCCCATGGCCAGGCAATCATCTCTATTAAAACCCATTTTAAAATAAGGAGCAAGCGCAACAGCGACCCCAGCACCCAGTTCTCAGAATCAATTACCCCTTAGACACATCCTGTAAAGACTCTCAGGAATCTGCTTGCGTCGGGCTCGAGGAGGGCACTACAAGAAGCCAGTGGTGATCAAGGGACAGGACAATGTGGGGCGACAAAGTCTACCCCAGATCTGGATCTCTCAACAAGTAGGCAAAGAGTGTCAATAATTCACTCATCAATGCCACCTTGAAGGACCGTATCCAAGAAGAGGAAGGCCTGCCTGTGGGCTCGGGAGGTTGAGTTCTCTGTATGGTCAGACCACTGCCAATGGAAGCTTCTCCAGTGTTGCCTGTCCCATGTGGTTTGTCACTGAAGCACCAACACAGTACAGTGGACACCATGGCAGTGGGAGCACAAACCACTCAGGTTCACTGATGTCTCCAGCCAGGCAGGTTCCCATCCCACTAGGACTTCCCGGAATAAAGGAAGGTCAATATTGTTAGCCAAAGGCACTTTCTAGACTCTTCTACAGCAAAATCCACACACTTGTCAGTGGTAAAATGACTCAGATTTAAGCACTTGCCTCAAGAACTAGGGGGATATTCAATGCAAGAACAGTATCCCATTAAACTATTTCTGTGTGTGTGTGTGTGTGTGTGTGTGTGTGTGTGTGTGTGTGTGTTTGTGTGTGTGATGTTATGCGTTGAGCATGGAGATTTCTCCACCAAGAGACAGACAGGAAAATACTGATCTTACTTGGAAATGATTATGACTCTATAATCCCAGCACTCAGGTAGGCTGAGGCAAGAGGATTGGCAGGAGTTTGAGCTAGCCTAGGCTATACAGTGAGTTCCAAGTCATCCATCCTGGGCTACATTGCAAGACCTGGTCTTCAAAAAAATAAAAGAAAACAGGGTGAGGAGGGAAGGAAGGAAGAGCATGGAAGGAAGGAGGCGATGACTCAGACTAGCTCTAGAGAAATAAAATTCCCCCTAGGGAGCACTTCAGAGGAGAGTAATTGTTCCAGAAGATTTCATTCAACCCCGAGCTTCAGCAGCCTTGTCACTCTAACATAACCAATGTGAAGACGACCGAGGCACCCTAAGCTCTTCTCTCATTGTTTTTTTTCTCATGCCAGGTTGGACTGTGTAGATCTGACCTACGTTTAAACTGACACATGGCACAAGACACACGTTAGATGCATACTGAGTGTTCGCTAAAGTATTCTCATCAAGAAAATAACAGGGAAAGCAAGGCAGCTGTGTGAGAAGATGGTGGTCGGTTTGACTCTGCTGTGACCATTTCACTGTGTAACTGAAACACCACACTGATTGCTTTAAGACTAAAGCGGACATAGGAAGACCTGCCATGGCTCTGTGTTCTTAGCAAACTGTATGTAAAACAGTCTTTCTAAACTTAGTAAAACACAAGGATCCAGATGACCACATACATATAGGAAGCAGACTAGTGAGGCACCAAAAACTAACAGTTGTCTCTCTCTCCTTCTCTCTCCCCATCTCTCCCCTTTTCTCTTCCTTTCTTTCTGCTAACAGGGTCTCACATAGCCCAGGCTAGCCTAGAACTTTCTATCTAGCTAAAGATGACCTTGAACTCCTGATTGTCACCACTCCCTGAATTCTGAGATTATCCATATGCTCCACCATGCCTGGTTTGTATAGTGTTGAGGATGGAACCCAGGGCTTTACTACATGTTAGGCAAGCACTTTACCAGCTGAACTACAGCCCCACTCCTCTTGTGCACTTCTTAAATTTGCTTCTCAATGAGCATGTGCTGATTTAAAGACCAGGAATACCATAAACCTAGTCTTCAGGAGAAAACACGTCTGTCGGTCATTTTAAGCACTCATTCCTTGATCCTGCCAGGGAGCAGCCCCCACCCCACTTTCAGCTTGCAGCAGGCCTGGCCACCAGCCAAGTTCCCCACTCCTCCCCGAGTGTCATACTCACAGCCAATCATCATTATGGCCACCGCGAAGATCTTCTCAATGTCAGTGGATGGGGCGATGTTCCCGAAGCCCACGCTGGTGAGGCTGGTCATGGTGAAGTATAGTGAGGAGATGTAGACAGAATTCTTGCTGGGCCCGCCTTCCCACTTCCCCGAGCCAGACCCGTTGAACTGGTATGGAGTGCCAATGTCCATCGCCAGCTGGTAGAGCCAGCTGTTGTTGCGGATTGTCTTGGTGTCCTCATCAAAGATCTCGTAGTCCCCAATGCTGTACCAGATGCAGGCCATCCAATGGGCAGCCAGCCCAAACACGCACACCAACAAGACCAGTACCGCAGCTCCATACTCGATGTAATGGTCCAACTTGCGGGCTACTCGCCCAAGACGGAGCAGCCGCACAACTTTCAGAGAACTGAACAGGCTGCTGATGCCCTGGAAGGGGATGGACACAGAATCAGAGAGAAAGAACAAAGCTAATGCTCCATCCGTCAGCCCCACCACTGCCATTAGTTTAAGCATCATGTGTTTCCTTGACATGCAATATTATACAACCCTTAAAAAAAACTTAAAATTAGAATCTTTTTTTAAAAAAGATATTATTTATTTTAATTTTATGTGTATGAATATTTTATCTGCAGCTACGTATGTGCACCATGTGCTTGCCTGATGCCTGTAGAGACCAGAAGGGAATATCAGGTCCCCAGTGGGCAACTGCAAACTGGCAAGCACATGCTGGGAGCCAGACCTGCATCCTCTGTAAGAGCAGAGAGAGCTCTTAACTGTTAAGCCATCTCTCCAGGCTTTAAATTAGAATTCTATTCCAAGGATGTGTGGAATAGAGATTTCTATTTAGTGTTTTATGACTTGATTAAAAAAATAAACAAAACAAGTAGAGTTATTATAGATGAGAAGTATATATATACATATATATATGTATATATATATATATATATACATATATCTTTCTGTACCACTAGTTATCTTAAGAAAACTTTCAAGGGTTGTATAATATTTCATATTATATAATATGAAATATTTGAGTTGTATCATATTTATTTCATGTGGCAATGAATTATATAAACACTGCATTGCACATAAGCAAATAAATATGTGTGCATTAGAAAGCAATCAGGAACCACAGGCTTTTTTAAAATTCTATTTTCACATATTTTGTTATAAATGCATATATTTACCTAATTTATGTCATTATCACTAATTTAATAACTAGGAAAAAAACATTTAAAATTAAAGTAAATTAAGAAATGGCTGAGATGCACACCTTTAATCTCAGCACCAGCTGAGATTGAAGTTAGAGGCTAGCCTGGTCTACACAGTGAGTTCCAGGCCAGCCAAGGTTACATAGTAAGACCCTGCTTCAAACACACAAATAAATAAACAAAAAAATTAAAGTAAGAGAAAGAGAGAAAGGGGTGGAAGAATAAAGAGTTGAGGTTCTGCTGGGAAGGGCATTACTTCTGTGAGGCTGGGGAAATCCAGAGTCAAACACTGAGCGCACACACACACACACACACACACACACACACACACACACACACACACACACAGAGTCAGTCCAGGAAGCTGAACAAAAGCACAATGGTATATAAAGAACATCAGGGTGAAAATCGAGGCCACATGTGTCCATTTGAACACTTCAGTGATCTGTCCATCCTCTTGTGTCAACAAGGAGGGGGTGGTCCAGAGCACCACTCAGCCTTCCACAAACACTAACCTACCCGCTCTCAGCACCCCCACGGGGACTCGAAAGACACTACAGATGCCACAGCACTTGGACCCCTCCCTACCTGATTCCAATTCTGACATGATTCTAAAATGAGTGCATTGGGAATTTCCATTAACTTTTCCCACTTCCCCTAAAAGCAAGCTAGAAAGAAAATAATAGAGATGTTTCTTTGAGTCAAGACTCTGTCAGCCTTTACCTAGTCAGAACCTAAGAAAAGATGTCACCCTTCACCACAGGGAATGCAGGATTCCTCTCTTTTCCAGCCACTAGGCAGCTTCTAGGCCTCCAGGACTCTTATCCTCTATCCTATTAAAGCCTCTGCCCTAGGTAAGGAGCAAAGGCTTCCTAATGCCTGTGGAAGGAGGCACCCTGGGCTCACTTCCTCTTCACCGGTTCATCACTAAACTGTATTTATTTCTCAGGCTCCGTCCATCTACCTGAGTTCTTGTGGATGTCGCTTCCAGGGAAATCGTACTTGCTCTTTTTCCTGTCCTGTCTGCAGGTAAGTCTGTGTGATCTTAAAGCTATACCCTGGAGATGGTGGACCTACAGACAAGCCTGGGTCCCTAAAGTCCTGCGTGGGAGCTCAACCCAAGCTAACTTAAGTTGTAGCATGTGGATAAGGAAGAAATCCCTGAAATAAGCACAGAACTGTGTTTCCCTTACCTACCAACTCCAGGGTCCCGTCCAAGCAGACGCCAAATGAGGCTGTGCAAAGGGCAGGGCAGGGGAGTGGGATTTGTTGCCTTCTCAGAAAAATAAAGCAAGGCTGGGTCTGTAGCTCAATGGCAGAGGGCTTACTCAGCTTGTGTGGAGCCCTGACTTTTATCCCCAGTGCCACAGAATAAATAAATAACGGAACAAATAAACAGGCTTCACAGCTGCAGAACGACGACAGATGTGGCGGTTTCTTATCTGGGAACGGAGCTCACACCAGCACAGCCATCCTCTCGGTGCTGTCCCTTTCTCTGTGATCAACCTTGCCACCCAAGAGTGGACACAGCCTTCACAGGGGTCAGCTGACAGGGTGCGGGTAGCTCTCTCTGCACAGGCACCTGCACCCCAACAGAGGGTAACCAGCTTTCAGCATCTACAGCTGCCATGAAGGAGATATTTTGGGAGGCAAAGGAGTCTTCAGGATGAGTCAGAAATCACACACCACGTATGCAGCCACCCACACACCACCTCCTCCTGAGGGTCCCTGAAACCAGTTCAAAGAAAAGCTTGCTTCCCGGGGCAAAACTGCCTTCTCATTTTTCCTAGTCCATGCTCTGTTCAAAGCAACCCTCAGTGGTCCAGAGGCTCCCAAAGGCGGGCGGCCTCTCCGTGGCCTTCCCCGTGACCACCCCCATGTCTCAGCTGCACCGTTTCACCACAAGCATTCACAAGCCCTCAGTGGGCTACATCACCTTTCTGATCCTGCTTCCACATCTCTTCCTTCCTCTTCCATCACAATGACCACCACGACAGTTAACTGCCACTCAGAGGCCACACCATCCTCTAGTCATATGTTCCAAACGGCTTTCACGTCTCCATGATAGGTAGATCCATGTGGTGCCTCCTCAGACTGGCCTCTCAGCCCAGAAGGCCTGACGTATAACTAGCCATCTGGTGATCTTATCACCCCTTCAGGCTTTGTCGCTGACTCCACCATGAAGCTTCTATGATGTCCCTGAAGTCGGAACCCATCCCCAACTCCTCCACAGGTCCACAGGCCTCTGTGTCCATTGCCACTGGAGCATGATTTCCTGTGTGACAAGGTGCTCATTCCCCAAAATGTCACCAGGAAGTACATCTCCCCAAAGATAGAGGTTACCTGTCATACATGCTAGAAGCAAGTGGATTGAACAGTGTCATCCCTCATTTTGGGGTCAAAGACACCCCACCAAGTCTAGAGCACAGCCCTGCTCAGAAGGAGTCTGAGAAAGCTCCTAAACTGACTTGGAGATTAAGGCAAGCTTTCCCTTCCTCGCTTTAAGGAGAGTCTGGAACTTGACTGCTGTCTCGGCACAGTGGTACGCCATTGCTCAGTGCTTGCGTAAATTCTCTTCCATCCCATTGGCAGCTGGAATCCTGGCTGTCCAGAAGCAATTCAAGCTATTAGTTTGGTTCCCCCATACCCCTACTTTCCTGAAGTTCAGTACATGAGATAAATACAGCAGAATCCTCCAAACTTCTTTTTTATTTGAGTACACTAAAACATGACAGCACCATATGCTGGAGAATCAGGCTTCCCCAGAGACTCCTTGCTGCAGAAAACCATCTCATTCTGCAAGTAGTTTTTCTGGATGCTTTATGAGAATCTTGACATTAGGGAGAGTTTCCAGGTGGGTCAACGTGAACAGAGGAACAGCAAGAACAGGAGCTACTGAGCTTCATCCCTGAAAGCCACAACTAGCCCGGAGGCAGACTCTGAAAATCTCAGTGGTTCCGTGGTGACAGTACCGAAGAAGGGTCTGAATTGAGATGGACACTCAGCAGGCTTCTGACTTACTGCACAAGTTTTCGAGTTTTACTTAAACGTACAGCCCAAACAAACCATTCACTTAGATTTGTTTTTAGCTTGTCTTGTGGGGGTGGTGGTGGTGTATACGTGTGGGTGGGTGCATGCTGGGACCAAAGGAGGCAATCAGACCTCCTGCTCTACCACTTTCCACTTTATTCCTTTGAGACAGGGTCTCTAACAGAAGCTGGAGCAAGGCTAGCAGTCCGGAAGCCCAGGTGCTCCTCCGGTGCCACGGTTACAGATGGCCATGGTTGTGCCTGGCTTTTCTCTCTATGTGAGTGTTCTGATCTTAAACTTGTGCAGCAAGCTCCCTTACTCACTGAGCCATCTCTCCAGCCCCCTGCCTTCTCATCTAACTAGATTCACCAGTTCTCTGCTTGATAACAATTTTTCCCTGCGATAGACATTGGCACTAAAGTTACAGACTGATGCCACTGCATTATTGAAATGCTATGTTTTTAGATAGTCCCATGGGGACACAGAGCATCTTTCCAAACAAGAGTGACTTAGCACTCAAAACAATAAATATTGCCTCCTTCCAGGTTGGTGTGTCCTCCTCAGGCTCGATGAATGGCGTTCCAATCATTCTTCAAACATTTGGAGGGGTGGGAGGAGCTTCAGGCAAAGTAGGTTACAGCACTCTCTCAGTGCACTACACCTCAGCCCTCCTTCCACTTTGTATCTTGAGATGTGGTCTAAGTTGTCCAGGCTGGCCTTGAACTTATTCTGCCTTCAACTTGGAATCCTCTTGCCTCAGTCCCCCAAGTAGCTAGGATGAGGGGTCTGTACCATGCCAAGCTGAACAAAAACTTATTGAGCCTCTATTCATAATTCAAGTCCTGGTGACAGACAAGACCCAAACCTTTACCCTTCTAGAATATTCAATTAAGGGAGGCAGATAATAGAATAAAACCCATAAGTCAGAGCTATGACATGATGGTATGATAATAAATCAGGCAAGAAATAAGCATGGACATACCAGGAAGGTGGCCAGCCAGTGTCACTCAGGCATTCACAGAGACTGTGGCACCAAGGCAAAGGCCCAGGGGAGACAGGGGTGTGAGCCATGAGATGGTCTAAGAAAAACAAGTTCCAGACAGAAGTGACGGCCAGTACAAAGCACCCTGGGGTGTGAAGGGCATGTCACACTCTGTTGCTCTGACATAGACGGACATGTCCTTG